TATAGCCCTGAGATGTCCCAAAATGAGCAAAATTACTCACTGCGACAGACCAATTAACGAATACAGGATTCACGCTGATAGATAATTCCATAAAACATTCATTTTCCATTAGGACCAACAGTTTCAAGATTTTATTGGTCAGAATTTTCTTGATAAATAAAAAATAAGGTAGCCAATGGAAAGTGCCGATTAACAGTCAAGGATAGGGGACAGCAACATAAGTTTCTGAAACATTTTAATGCAAAAATATTTTTGAAAAATTTCGAAAAAATTGAAAGCTTAACTTTAAATTATCAGATACATTATATTTGGCCATCCCTAAAAACCATTCAAAGAACCCTATTTCATCAAAGAATCTTATCAAAAAAGCAAAGCTCGGGAAGGGAAATTTCTAAAACATTTTTTTTGTATTGAATACAATTTTCTTATATTGTTGCATCCATATTTACTTCTAACTATTAGCCTTCATTTTGGCACCTATAAACAACCGGCTAACCCATAAACAAGGGCATATTGAGGGGAAGGGGCTGACAGCCATGTGGTCAGCTACCGTAACCCGCCACCCGGGGGGCCAGCGGGTTGGTAAGAGCCACACAGACCGGCAAATCGCCACGAGGCATCACAGGAGTGAAAGGATTCTAATCAATAAAGCATAATAACAAATAAAGAAAAGGCTAGAATATTGCAACAAGTTTAGAGTTTTTCATCATCTAATTTGAAAATAATATTAATGGAAAATGTCAATATTCCCGAGTTTTACCGGTACTGTACTGTTAGCAGGGGGACTAGTGCCGACTATCCAGTGCCGACCGCGACCAGCCCGACTCCACTAACTGCACATTATCACCCTATCTTTTTAAATGTCAGTGGTAATTTTTTGAAACATTATATTTCATTTATTGAACTGTATATTTTCATCGTGTTAAAAATCGCAGCAGGGAATACGATGGAATTTATTGCGGCTCAGCTAAAATTCAATGACCTCGCAAAAAATATTAAAATTTATATAATTAATTCCCCCCTCTTGACAGCTTTACGCTAATTTGCTTGTTTTTACCATAAACATTTTAATTTACACTATTTTGGACCGGAATTTAGAATCGGTTATAAAATTGTTTGAAGGTTCTATCGCCTTGCGTCCAAAAAATGCCGAAAGGAAAGGAAATATAGAACATTCTGGGGTCCATATGCGAGCATAGGCAGCAAAAATAGTGATGCCTTGTTTTTTTAATTAGCTACAGTCGAAGAGGAGACCACTAGCTAACCGGGTTGAAATAATAACAGGAGATCTGCTGAAACATTCAGTTTGTTTTATTATTATTCTTAAATTGTGTATTCGATTGAAATCTAGAGAACTCTATTAAAGGAACGGGCAAGGCATGCGCACGGATTCGTCTGGGCGCTTCCATTTCCCTCGAAGAAAAGCTTTTTGCAGAGCAGAGCAAAGGATTGTCAATGCAGCGAACAATCGTAATACGCCAATGATGCCTTAATAACGTAATTCAATTGTTGTAAGTTAGGTGAAACATTCAATTTTCATGTCAATTTTATCGATCCTAATTTGATTTTTATTAACATACATAGTTGTGGTACCGAGCCTTAAAGTAATACTTTTAACTAATAAAAAAGCCTCCCCTTAACTCCTCAAATGTAAAAATTTGTAAATATTTTTAGAACTATATTTTACTCTCGGACAAAGTCAGGATTAGCCCGTCTTTAACGTCATCGGCATCACGAGTTTGATGTAACACTGCTTTTCTGCCAAGATTTGATTCCGAAATGAGCAGTTTTTCTTATAAATTTTATAAATTTTTATAAATAGACGATAATCGGATAATAGAGAATTTTTATGATAGATTTTTATAAACAGAGGATTCCATTTTTGCTATTCAGCTTTAGATTTCCTTAAATATTGGATCCTTTATAAGTTATTAAAGAGGTAAGCGACCCGGCCTTTTTAGAAACAAATCCAATTTTTTAATTTTTTGAACCATCATCCAAACCAACGACGCGTAACGAGTCGTCACGCTAATAACAGTTTGGTGAAACATTGATTTTCCGCTACTTCGTCACTCTGAAACGACCGATTTTCATTATTTGCAGGATTTGACTTTGAAAAATTACGATTTTAACTATTTTTATTTAGATTTACGTCTGTAAGGTCCGTCTGAAATATGGAATTCTATATAAATTATTCAAGAGGCAAGCGATCGCGTCTCTTACAAATAATTCATTTTGTCTGCTAGAACCTGTCTGATATCTCCTGACACGCTCCCTTTAAACCCGATGCTTCAATCGGTAGAAAATAAAGTCATAGGATTCCTCAAAAAGACAGTCATCAGGCCAATCGTTGAAAGCGATTGGCCTGAGGCGCGCGAAGCGGCTTTTCCACCCCGGTAACAAATGAAGAAAAAATCCTCTGGCGCGAAATGGCGGAAAAAATCGGAAAAAAATTTAAATGCAATTTTTGATGTTCTTTGGTCTTGTGTCGAAAAAATGCTGAAAAATAGGAAAAGTATCGAAAATTTGGGGCGCGAAGCGGGTCAGCAAAAATAGTGATGCGATGTCCCTCTTTTTAATTCGCTAGGCTGACAATTTGAAGTCACTAGCTAAACGTGTTCAAATCAAAACATGAGATCTGCTGAAACATTCAATTTTCTTATTATTTTTAAATTCTGTATCCTATTGAAATCTGGAGACCTTTATTAAAGGGACATGCAAGGCATGCACACGAATTCGTCTGGGCGCTTCTTTTTCCTGTTTCCCCTCGCGAAAGCTTTTTCCAGCGCGATGTGTTTTCGACGAAGCAACCCAATAGCGTAATTCAATCGCTGTCGTACCCTAAGTTTGGTGAAACAATCAATTTTCGTAAAATATTTCTCGATCCCAAACTTGTTTTTAATAACAAAGTTGTGGTACCGAGCCTTAAAAAATAGTAATAAAAATGCCTCCATTTAGCATCCGGCATAACACGACCCTCAAATTTAAAAAATTATATATGCTAAAAAGTATATTTTCCGCCAGGACGAAGTCAGGATTAGCCCGTCGTTAAACCAACGGGATCGGGAGTTTGATGAAACACTATACTTTTCTGCCATTTTTTTAAAGCGACGAATTTTCATTATTTGCAAGTTTTAATTTTTTCGTAAACTAAGGTTATTACATCTTGTCATTTTTTATTTTGATTTTTTTACAATTTTTAATTTAGAATTCTTAATGGCTATATACAGGTCAGCACTTCCAGTCTTTTACAAACAAATCTAATTTTTTCATTTTTTTGAACCTGTCACAACTCCAAATCCAATAAGCGTAACGAGTCGTCACGGTAGCAGCAGTTTGGCGAAACATTTATTTTCTGCTGAATTCTTGACTCTGAAAGGACGATTTTCATTTTTCCCAAAATTTGAGCTTGATAAATTACGATATTAACCATTGTTATTTAGATTTATGTCTGCAAGAGCCGTCTGAAATATAGAATTGTGTATCAGTTATTAAGGTAGCAACCGATCGGGTATTTTACAAAATGTTTTTTTCTTGTAAGATCGTCCCAAAGCCCATTGCACGCTCCCTCTAAACCGAAGCTTGAATGGAGCGACAATAAAGTCGACTGAACCCTCAAAAAGTCAGTCATCTGGTCAACCGTCTCCAATTGCGTTGCGTAGCTGATGGCCGATCGGCTTTTTTGGGCGCAACTTTTTCTTTTGTTCGAGGGATGGTAATGCGATAGCTCTACCCAGGGATTGACCCTCGATCGCCAGATGTGTCGGTCAGCCCACTCAGATAATGATGGCTGGGTGAAACATAAGAAATATAAGGCAAAAATTATATTAAAGGGACCTAAATTAATTCAATTGCTGTTTTTCGTAAAACTAATTTCCGTATTCAATTAACTACGCTTGAAACACACAAGAAAATTGGGGTGCGACGGAAAATCCAAGCAAAATTAGATAACAACCCATTTGAAACTTATGTTTGACTTACCTTATAGGTGAAACATTCTAAAAAAGGAATGATTCATTAAGGGCATCGGACAGCCAAAGGTAATATTTTATTACGGTTTATTTAGAACTCGACAAGGCAAAGCAAATCAATTAAAGACATAATCGAATCAATTAAATCCGGGCTTTCGAATTGCTGTAAATATTATAAAAAATATTTACGTTGCAATTATACAGGGCCGATCAACTCAATTAAATTTGCGTGTAGGTTCGTATCAATACTTTTCAGTGAAACATACTTTAGGTGCGAAAATACTTTGTGTAGGGTCTAGCTTAACTAACTTGCCGCAAAAGCTTCGCTCAATGGAATTCAGTAAACATAGCATTAAAGAACATAAACGGGAATTTTCGGAGGTCATTTTTGTTCGGAAACTTTTTTGTTTTGTGTTTTTGTAATGACCTGTCGCTTTAGGAATAGTAAAGCTGCCTTATGGTGTTAAAATAAATAAAAGATAAAATCAAACTTCCCAAAGGTGGGTTTTTACTTTTTTTTGTTTAACTTCTTAAACTTTTTAAAGGTATGCCGACGGCATAATCAATCGGTTACGCGCCGGAAAGTAAATGTCTCTGCGCCTCTCCCCAGGGCGCGCTCTCTCCCCTGTTGGCTAATTGCCAATTTGTTGATGGGGGGGGGGGAACGACACATGCCGTCGGCAGCCCTTTAAAGATTGGTTTATTCGGGAAACTTTGCTGTTTCAACCATTCAACAGACATTAACCGGAGCTCTACGATAATTGTCTGTGCGGAAATAGGTTACACTTGACGTGTGGTAAGCCAGGAAAAAAAAGCATGTTTCATTTTTAAGTTATACATGAATCAGCTTTTTAGTATATAATGTCCGAGATGTCATGCCTTTTACAGCATCAAATACTTCCCTTGCCCGTGCCTTGAAGCGCTAAAAATTCATTTCCGGTTAGCCTAGATACTTCAGGAAGAGAGGGTTACATAGAAAAAATTTTTTAATTTTAAGGTATACCTTACCCTGGAGGCTAATTTTATTGTATGGAGCTTCTCGTTATTTATCATACAGTATGCCCAGCCGCGTGTCCCCAGCTGCCCTCATCTTTTTACGGCATGGTAAGCGAGGGTAGTGCACGGTTTTTGTAGTATTCGCTGTCTTTTGGTGGGTGAGAGAGGGGGGGGGAAAAGGGGGGGAGGGGGGGGGGGGGGAGAGAGAGAGAGAGAGAGAGAGAGAGAGAGAGAGAAAGCAAAGGAATGCCGTGTGGTGGCCGTATTTCTTCTGCAACGCGGGGCGCGCGGGGCGCACATGTGGCGCTCGGGCTGGGGGCCCAGCTGTGACCCCCGTCCTAAAGCTGTGACCCCGACGATACACACATTTCTTCAGCCACATCTCAACACACGCATATACACAAAAACCGTCGATTGGTGTATGTGTGTGTGGGGGGGAATCAGCCAGGGATTAAATGGACCAAAACTACTGGAAATTTTTACGAAAATGAAACATACTATCACGAAACGCTTTATTTCTTTTCATGGGCAAAGCCAAGAAAATCAAAATTTTTAAGTTTACAAACTGCTGAAGTTATCAAATGGAACCAAATGTTTAGCAACTTAAACCGGAGACGAAACATAATTTTTGTTGCCATTCATATTTTCAGAGACCTAAGGAAACAATTAATGTTGGCATTTTATAATATTTTTACAATTTTCAAACCTAATTTAACGAATTTTCCTACTGGTCTCAAAATTGAAGAAAAAAATATGAAATAGGCAGTAGGCAAGCGAACTCGGCAATAGGCAGACAGTTAAGAAATGCATGTTTTATAGGAGACGGCAAAAAGCGGATATTCTTGAGTTACAAGAACATCGAAAAGGTGCTCAAAATAAGGGCTTAATGAGGATTTTTTTAGTAATTTCGGAGAAATGCCAATCCTCCTGGAAAGCACCAAAACAAAGTAGCCGTCAATACTAAAAACCGAATGCAACCGAAATTAGCATAAAATGGCAGGGCAATTAGCCATTTGATAAAACATTCATTTTCTACTCTCTCTCCCTTTTAATATGGCGGCGCCGGGTGGCGATCAGCTAATCACTTTTCGATATCATCTTTCCTGCGAGGTTTGTAAACGATTTAGTTAGCCTACGAATTCAAAATAAAAAAATTAAATGAAACAAACTAAATTCTAGCTAGGTTTATTTTAACTGAGCTTTAATTTAATGATTGAAAAATTATTTAGGGAGTTATTCCAAAATCAATTTACGTTTTTCAGGCGGATTTGCGCGTGCAGCGCCAGGGCATCGACACGACGTTCATCACGGCGCACGGGCTTGTCGGATATGAATGGTAGTTTTCTTCGTGCACAGGTCGAATAAATTTTTTTCTATTCGCCAGGAATTCTTTTGAGGTGAAACATACTTCGGTGAAAAATGGAAGAGTTCTAAAAGCCAAATAAAAGCAATTGCAGGCCGAATTCTCGACTTGAATTTTACTTTTCCGACTTAATTATTTTTAATTTATCGCGGTTTTTCGACGCAAGTGCATTATATTATGACTCTAGAGGACAAACTCGACGCCTAAGGTTTTGAACTTTTGCTTCATTGAAGAAGGAAAATTAACCGTTTTCTTTTGCCGAAAACATCTTTTTTGAGGCGAAACATAACTTCGGCACCGTTGAAACGAGACGCGGAAACAGATACGGCTGCGGTCCTAGGCAGTTAGAGGGCAAACAATTTTTCCCGTTAATTCCGTGAAGCGCTAGGAACTCAGACCATATTTATGAGTTAGAGCGCAGCTGACCCGCCGCCAGCCAGCACTTAACCTTTGTATCTCGGCTCCCTGTTCATCTACAGGTCTGTAAAGTATACCAAAATGTTTGTTTTGTGCTCGCGAGTATTTTGCTCTACTTTACACAGCTGTAGATGAACAGGGAACCGAGATACGGTAGGTGGGGGACGGCTGGGGGGGGATAAACTGTACTTAAAGGGATACCCAAGGTTTTGGCGGCAAATATATAGTTATGGATTCCGGGCAGTACAAATGACGCGCTAATTTTGTGCGGCAATGGCGGCCCATTGCCGCACAGAATTCGGACACCTTTCCCTCTTGTGGCCTCCCCATCCCACCCAATGGCTTGCCACTATGGCCTAATGGATAGTGTCCAGGCCTACAAAACGGGGGTCACGGGTTCGACCCCCGCCCGCGGCATGGTTATTGCTTTTTTGAGCTCCGAAAAGGTTGGGCATCCCTTTAAGCCTATTTATGGAATTTTACACCGTTTTTAGATATAAAAAGTTTATAATAAGTCAAGGTTTTTGAGAAACACTGACTTTTTCATCAAAAATGCAAAAAGAACAATAATTGCGAGGTTACAAAATTAAACATGAGCAACTTCGAGAAACCCTAGAAAATCGCTGAAGCTCATTTTTTTGGCACTAGTGGTCGTCACTGTACGATATCCGCATTCTGAACGACTCTAGAAATACCGTAACCCCTTTGAAGGCACCTCACCTGGGGCCGTGATCGTTTCGCCTTCCCGCCACGCCACAACCGCCGATGGTTGCTGGTGCGTTATAATTTTTGCGAACGCTTTTGTAATGCAGCCGAGTACAGGGTGTCCCTATAAAAAAAACACCCCCTCCAACCGGACGTAGACGTATCGGATCGGGACGATACTTACACGATTCGAAAGCCCTTGACACGCCGAGTTTGCAACAATCTTCCAGTTTTGATTTAACCGCTCTATTTTACAAGCCAGTATTTAAACCATTGCCGTTTTTCAGGGTTGCATATCAGCGAATTTGCCTAACGTTCTCAAGTAAAATACTACGTTGGCGTTAATTAGATCCAGAACCCGTTCCTTAATGTTTTAAATGCGCAATAAAATGGCGTGTTTCAATAAAAACATGGTTCTAAGATTGTTGCAAATTCTCCGTTCCGATATTTCTCCGCGAGTGAGGGGCGGGTGGGTGGGGTTCTTCCCGAGCTATTCTTCATTCACCCCAGAAGATTTTCGGGATCACCACATTTTTATGAAAGATTTTTTCATAAGAAAATGCCTTGTGTCGTTTATTCGTCTCGATTCGATTTTATAAGTTCGCGTATGCCTTGTCATACACGGTTCCATTTCGGCATCGGGGGAAAAATTGGCGTAGGAGAAGACAAGTTATTAATGTTTCAAGATTTCGGAAATCTCGTATATTTTTTGAAACATGGTTTCTGAAATACCGGTTGTTTTTTGACAATGCCATTTTCGCACTGGATTTTTTAGAATCCCGTCAATGAAAATAAAACCACAATTTTCAGGACCTGCGCAGCCGTCGTTCTTGGTCTCGCCGCCTGCCCCGCCCCCGGCAGATCATCTACATCTTAAGGGCCGTGGATGCTCACGGTGACGGTCGGTTGTCGTACTATAAGGAAAAGATTATTTCGCTATTTAAAGTTTTGATATTTTGATGTCCATGAAACACGCTTTTTCAGAACTGATGGCACCGGCCCGGTCAAGCGCGGTCATCGGTCCCAGCAACACCATGGACGATCTGATATTGAGGTTCATCTACTCGCAAGACTACGATAAACTAGAAACTACGATATTTACTATAAACAAGGCCCTCGAAGCGGGGATTGGGTGCTACTGCAAAAACTTCCTGACGCAGACGCGAAATTGCGCTGATAAAAATTCTAGTTACTTGACAAGGAACGTGAAACAACTTTTTCTTGACCTAAGATCGAAAGTTTCTAATGCAAATAGTGAAGGTTTTCCAAATAGTTTCTACTATTCCCAAGCGCATAAATATACAAATTTTATTAAAAACCAGGGTTGAAAAACCGCTTCGCGGCTTTTCAACCCTGGCCCCGTCTTCTCCAATGATTTTCTGGGCTTTGCATAATCTTCCGGGATTCGGATGACGAAAATGAAAATGCTCTTGCCGTCCCTTTATATAGGCTACCGCGACTTCCGGTGCATGCTAATTTTTTCCTAACAAATTGGGGTGTCCGATTTTCCATGAAAAACTTAATTTTAATGTCGAAAACATCATATTTTGTAAGATCTGATATGTGTGCAGTCATCTCCAGCCCATTACGCACCTAATGACGTATCGAACATACCCCTAAGTACTTCCCCTCTTGAGATACTACTGGAACACGCTGACCGAAGTTGCATGCAAATGCACACACACACACACAGGAACTATTTTTTTATATATAGTAGGATTGCAAGAATATCGATTTTCGACAAAAAGGTCTAAGTTGTCCAAATTCAATAATTATAAAAAATATTTGCAAACTTTTAGTTAATTTCTCCACTTGAAATATAATAGAATTTGATTAAAAACAGGACTAAATTAGGTTCCCCCCGATAATTCTACGAAAAAAATTCCAGTCTCGACGAGGAAACGTCGCGCGTGCCCAAGAGGCTGCAGAAGCTTCGTGAGCTGATACCTAGTACGTGGTTTTCGCTTTTTATAACGGCAACTTGGAAAATTACGCCGATTCCAGGCAGGCTAGCAGAGATGCTTTGTGGAATCTGGAAAATTTAGGGAATGTTACGTTTTCCAGGCCGCACCCCGTTCTCCATTGAGCTGACCCTGTTGGTGACGTTGCCGGCTTCGGACTTCGCGGCCCCTCCCGAGCCGAGATCCATCCGTCCGCCCCCGAACGGCGACTTCCGCTTCCGCTCCCTGCTCGACACGTGGGGGCAGAGCTTGCAAAAAGCAGGATTCATTTAGATTCCATAGAACCCGAAATTCAAGATTTATAAATCTGTGCAAAAGTTAAAAATGTTTCACAACACTTTGCTGAAAAAAGTAATGTGCCAAATATAATTACATTGACATCATCCGCTAGAAAATTATTTAGAAGATTTCTAAACAATTGGAAATGCTATATTTATTCGGGTAAAAATAGTTTAATCTAAAAAGTCTAAAATCCAAAAATGAGGCTGAACTGCCTGAAAATGAGAATTAAAGCTGGGGGCAAAAGGCAAGCAGCGAAATTTCGATGTTTCAGAACATAAATAGCACGGACGCCCTATGCACACGATAATGTGGCGGAGTAGCTCACATGATGAACCGGACATAGAAATTCGGGTTTCAAAAACTTTCAAAGCCTGGGATAAACTTATACAATGAATTTAACCGTTTTGCAGTTCCCTACACGACTTCACGATCCGCTGCCTGGACGGGGTGGTGACGGCGACGCGCGAATCGCTCTACCAGGCCTCCATTCATTTTCGAGATGTAATGCTTGCCTTTTTGCAAGGTTCTAGACGACCGCTGAAGATGACTAGCGGGTTTTCAGGATCCGTGCAAATTGCTTAGAATTTTGTATTTTAGCTACCTTAAATATCACGTACAAGCGAAACATTGCCTGCCACCAAAATTAACTTTCCTTTCCATTTAAAGGGGCTGGCAAGGCATGGTGTCTGGCTCAGGGTCGGAGGAGAGGATTTTGCTCGTTTAATAGCATTTTAGGTCCTTTCTGCGTTATAAAAGCCTTATTAAAAACTATTGAAGTTCTCGAAAAGGTCAAAATTAAAAAAAGTTGGTTAAAATAATGTGGAAAACTACCCTATAATTTAATTTTTAAAGAAGTTTTTTTAGCTCGGAAGAATCCCAAAAGCACACAAAAATTGCAATGTAGTAGACTTGCTGGTTCCTTTAAAATTCACAACATTCCAGTTCTTCGAGATGCAACGCGACGTGGTGGTCACGGCCGAAAATGCGAACTGTCTGCCCGTCAAGCAGGTAATGGCGCTGAAATCAATTTGCACAAAACCTGAATTAAACTAGGTATTAGAAAAAATTTGAGATCGGATCCCACGGTATTTTTTTATATATAGTAGGATATGTAATATTTACTACATCGCGGCAGCAGGAATTTGATAATATTTAGTCCCTTCAATTCCTCCTCACCGGCACATTCGAGCACGACGGCGAGATGACGCCCGCCCACGCCCGTCAGCTCTTTGACGTCTCCAGAAAGTAATTAAGGGTTTTATGGACACCTTTACGAACCAATCCTGGCATAATTTTTAAGATGATAACGTAAATACCGGGAGACCTAACGACGTAGCGAGACTAGGCCAAAAATGAGACGCAGCCCCGCCCGTGTTTCAAAATAGACGCTAAAAATTGTATTTTTTTAAATTGCGCAATATTTTAATTTACGTTATAATTTTCGTTTAATTAAGCTGTGATCTTAATTTTTAATTTAGTTTTAACGTAATAGAATTCATTTAAATCCGCAAAAGTGCCAGTATTTCCTTGATCTGATTGATCGCGATCATTTTTTCGAACAATATATTGCCACCGGAGTACGTTGCGCTGTCGCCAATTCGGCCATAAATATTCAGAAACATGCTTTTACAAAATACGACGCCTCCTTAAATTTCTCAGGTACCGCCCGAAAAGCCTGGAGCGCCTCCGCGCCGCGGTCCAGCACCACGTTTTCCCGCAGATTTTTCAGGTGAAATTCTGTAGTAAAGTTTACGGTAGTTCCACGGCAAATTAAACTATTACCGATTTTTCGCGACCAAAAAAATGTTTTTGTATGAAACACGTTTTCAGCATCGCGATCGGCTGAACTATCTGCTCGAGTTCTTCCTGGTGGCCGAGCGGAATAATCTGGAAGCGTTGCTTACGGTATTTCTTCAAGGATTTAAAAATGTTTAATTATTAAAAAAACTTTTATAAAATGTCTATTAAAAAATTAAATTTTAACCTTTTTGTCAGGCTTGTGCCACCCAGCTTCTCGCCGCCAACCTCAACGAATACCTCACCAATTATGGCGCGGCTCAGGTGCACGATTTTCAATTTTCTGTATTTCCACATAGAATATTGTTAAATTTTTCTGGTCACAAGAAATCTATTTTTCTTGGCTTTAAATCACTGCATATCCATCTAAAAGATTTAATATTTTTCACTTTCAGTGGTTAAAATTGCAGGCGAAATCACCGATTTATATTAGGAAATTGATGAAACAATGATTTGAAAATGAAAACCGCGTTTTTGTGAATATCGTTCTGAATCTGGCTCGTTAAAATTTAAAAAAGCTGTAGACGACATTCAATAAGGGTTTGAATAGCGTGACTGAGCTCGGGGTGGCATAATCGCTTGACGAGTTTTTCATCTACTTTTCAACTTCTCTTTAATAAAAATTTTTTAATTGGAGCTGAGCGTCTTTGAATGATCACATGTCCTATCAGTTTTGATGCATCTACCTCAAATATAAATAATCTTGCCTACAAAAATGCATGCCTATTAAAAAAATTGTTGAAACATGCTGTTTCAAAATAATTATTTTGTATTTTTTTACTAGTTTGTAGATGTTTGCTTTTAAAATCTAAGCAAAATAAAAAACTATTAACGATGAAAATTCAGATTTTTGCTTTTAAACGAAATCGAAAATCGAAAATTTTGAACAGTAAAATTCAGGGCCCTCGCGGCGCGGATGCGGCGCTGCTCGCCGAACTGCACCAGAATGGCGGCGGGCTACCGTTGTTTGGGCAGACACCGCATGTGGGTCTAGCTTCTGGGTTCCTTTAATTTAAAATATTCGCAAAAATTAATAAAGATGGATAGCTGCTACAATGTGTATTATTAGAGTTTTTACCTATGTAATAAAGAGGCTAATGTCGCTTAAAATAAAAATTTGATCAAAAATTGCTGTTCAAGGGCGTCCGACTACCGCCAAAACCGAAATTTTTTTATGGGTTGGGGCTAGAACACTTTTTCTTTACGCCTGAGCCAACCGTGGTCTTTCGCATTATCGGGGGAGGGGGGTCGCTTAAGCCGAATTTTTATATCATTTCTGAAATGAATATTCTTTGTATGTTTTGAGGGTGAAACGTGTTTTTGTAAATACATTGTTTCAAAAATCCTTTCTTTCTTTCGTGTTTTTACCACCACATCTAATCCGAAAAGTCACGCGACCGGATCCATTTTTAAATGCTCTAGATGAATCATACTATTTTCAGAGCAAACTCACCCTGTTCTTCTCGCAGGTCCGCGGAGTTGACATGGTCGATCGTCCGCCACCTATTGGCGTCACTTAACAAGCCATAGTCCCTCGTTAATTTTCTTTATTTCATTGTATTTGGATAAATGTTTAACCTTTATTGTGTCTTTTTTATAAAAAGGACTTTGTTCCATCGGACTTCCAATAACAATTCTGCGAAATTTTCGAAATACTACATTTTCGAAACAATTTTTTTTGAAAAACAACGACATAATTTTAGCTTGGCTGCTAATTGGAACAGTCAAATCGCATTTAAGTTTTAAGTTTAGGGGTCGAACTGACAAAAAGTCCAAAAAAAATGTCGTGAGAGGCAAACGTCGTACCGGCTGCGCCAAATCGCTATGGGGAAGGGAAGACGGGGCCTGGCTTTTCGACAGTGGGGATATTTGGAAGGAAATCGCTCCGCGCGAGGAGAATCATGCCAATTTCTGCTAATTCTTTAATTTAATTATTAAAAATCAATCGCTATCGTTTCGCAGAAATTGAAAACGGGATCTTGCTCAATTTTTCAAGCTCCTTCTAATGAGCTTGGTCTCGTTACGAAACTCCGTCCCCACCTAAAAACGTCTCCTTGTTAGTAGTTTTTCGAACATAGGGCTGTCGCATAATCCTCATTGGAAAAGCAGTTTGGCCTTTTTCGAAACACACAGTTAAAAAAATTGCACCTTGTTAGGAAAAAGCAATGCAAATGCAGAGCATGCAACTTTTTCGAAAGTGATTTTCGCAAATCAATCGAAAATCAAAACAGACTTTCTGGAAAAGTGAGTTCCAAAAAGTACTTTTCCGAAAAACCTGGTCAAAACTTTTTCAGAATAGCGATATGATAGCCAAATCTCATGCAAATATTTTGGAGCTGTGTGGGTAGAAAAAGTAAGTTTCGTAATAACACCGCGTAAAAAGGATCGTAGGAAAATGAATAGTAGGAAAATATTTTTATTGCTATATAGTATATAGTATAGTATATACTGCAGTTCTTTTCTCAAAATCATTGATTATGCGGATAAAAAATAATTTGTTCCTAGCAAACATCGAAACATCGATTGGCTTTGAGGAGCAGCACCGATGCCCGAGTCTCCTCTTTCGTTTGCTCCTTCCTAATTTTCGCATCCGGGGCGTAGCTGTGCGGGCGGGTGGCAAGTTCTGGGAATTGTGATTTAAATATGCTCTAAAGTAATTTAAATTCATGGCAAAAATCCGCACGCTCGAATCTCTTCGATTGCCCATCTCTTTCCCCGCAAAAATTGGAATTTTTTTGAAACATTGTTTACGGCAATGAGATCCTTTGCGCCGTTTCAAACTTGTTAACACCAACAATATGGCAATCGTGATAATTTTATATACATTTTTGAGAGTTTGTAAAGTTTATTTTAAAAGAGGACTTATTCAAAAATTCGGAATGCCCTTTTTGAAGTGATCCAAATGTTGAATCTGGAAGGATTGACAAACACGACTCCCACAGGAATTGGCATTGTTTTGAAACATTTCCTCATCAAGAAAAACCCTATCGACGACTCACCAAAAAACCAGGAGTACAAATGGGTGCCGCGCAGGAACGGGCGCACCACGGCGCAGCGCTCTTCTCCGTCAGTGGATTCGTGAATCTGAAAAAATAAAGCAATTAGGTCAGTAATTAATTACAATAAAGCATTAAAATACTTTAAAACATAAATTTGTAAATAGCGAAGATCCATTAAACCTCGACATTTACAGCATTACTCGTTAGCTTTAAGAAACATCTTTACGTTAAAGAAAGCTTTTTGATTTTGGATTTCGCGATTCAGTGCAAAATCGTGCGCATTAACACTCAATGATATGCAAATTAAAACAGAACTACCGCTTTCGAAATATTAGGGTTATCTTCGTCACACAAATTTTTACTTTGCGTCTAGCCAAAAATGCGTTTCAAGGAAAACGGTTAAAAACTGGGTGGGCGTTATTATCATTCATTATCATCCATTCAAGCTTTCTAATTGCCTGCCTCGTTAAATAAAAATTGTTTATTTGTGGTCCGACAAAGACTTTTTATTTACTGACTTTTCCGGTGGAAACCGTTTACGATATGAAATACAAGACAACGCGCACTAATGCGGATTGAAAAGTCCCATCTGTTTTTTCAGATGAAACATTTTTCTTGCGTGGCGTGAACTTTTCATGCCATTTAGGATTTTTTTCTTGCTTATTAAAAACGTTAGCTGTAATTTAGGTGCTTTTGCAATAACGGGGGAGGGGTTATCAAAAGTTTACTTATGCTATTTCGGTTTACTATTCCCAAATTTTCTAAGTTTTTCGAGCTAGTTTTTCCGCAATAATACTAAAACGCCATTAGAATCCCCCGCCCTGATCTGGTAAAATAACCCTTACATAACTTCCAAATTGCCATTTCTCACCTCACTCCAACAATGGCGATTCCCATCCAAATCACAGAGATGCGTCTTCAGGATTGTTTGCGGGCCCGAGACATTGTAGCTTAAGAAAACATATTTTTTCCGTCAGAAAATGCAGATAATTTTTTGTAACCCACTTATTGGTATCAGTTTTTAAGCCTATATATTAAGGGTATCAAACGTACCGATATCCTAGGCAAGCCTCATAGTGGTGCCATTCGCTTTCCGTTTTCAGATATGTTCGATTCACGCCATTTAACACCTCGTGGCGCACCATTGGCGTCTTTTCAGTTGGCTTGCGGTGCCCGTCTAGCAATTTTATATTTTCTTTTAATTTTGTTACCAAAAATCCATGCAATTTTGTGATTCTTGGTTCTTTATGCCTTTAAGTTTACTTTTTTAACAAAAATTGAAAAATCATAAAGGAGCACGCATCAAGATTGAGCGTAAAGTCAATTCGATTTTTTTAGGCAATTTCATGAAAAACTTATTTTCTACAAGAAGCATCTTTCCTGACCTGGTTGCTATTTCATCAGTTTTGGCTCTAATAATTCGAGATACAATGCCATCAAACTCGAGCTTTTTCATGAATTGCCATTCGCATTATTTTTGGAAGCGGCAAGGAGGAGAAACTTTAATTTTTTCGCTTGGAATTTGCTATTGCCAAACTTTAATTCTTAATTTATTTAATTACTTACATTTATCGGGTTTTTTCGTTGCCGATTTCTTGGCAGCCGGCTTGACGGTGGTGACGGCGGTGGTTTTTGGCGGTCGCGTCGTTCGGGGTGCACCACCTAGGAATGCCAAACGAATAACTAATTTTGGGAAGGATAAAGGACTTCAATTGTGGAGTTATTTCCCGATCCGGCAATTTATTTCTATGGAACATCCTTTTTTAGGCCCTGGATAGCTAGTGGCGGCCCGGGTTTCATTTGAGCTGTAAAGTATACCAAAATGTTCGTCTTGATCTATTTGATCAAAATAATTTTACATTTGAGGCCACAAATTATCGCGGAAAATAAAAATAATTGCGGTTGAAAAGACGCAAAATAGGCCGAAGAGCTAGCGTTTAATCTTATTTAATTTATTATACATTGCATTTATTATACAATTTATTATTATACAAATCAATGTTTCCGAAATAACCCGTGGGCCCTATAATGAAATATAATACATTTCATAGCTTTTACCCAGTTTTTGAGATACAAAAAGCTCAAAAAATTATAAAAATTAGGCAAATTATCGAGTTTAACGAAAAGGTTTGAAAATTGATGCAAAACCCGTCCAAATTTTGGAAATTATACAATTTTTAATTATGTTCATTTTCTATGTCTATTTTTAATTAATTTAGAGTAGATTGACGCGCTCAAATTAGGTTACCAGCTGTCGAGGCTAGCAGCACGTTAGATGAAACATGACACCAAATCACGATTTAGCATACAATACATTTAAAACAGTAAAGTTAAGTAGATTTTAGAAATTATATTAACTTTTTGTTTTTAAGTATTTTAGATTAATTAATTGGAATTAGAAACGCTATTTTTAACCCAACCCACCGAACGTCAGGTTCATTTTGAGCGTATTGTCTGAGTGATCGATGTCCACACTCATTGCCGGGCCCGTAATTTGGCGCATTTCGGAATTCGGGTCATCTTGTAGCCTGTTGTCTCCGGTAATCGCTTTTCCTTTCCTCGGCTTGCCACGGCGGACGCATCGAAAATTTAGAAATTATATTTATAACGATAATTGTTTTTTACAATTCGCTAGCAGTCGTGGATACGTAATCGCCATTAACTAAAATTTGAATAAAATCGTCTACTACACTATACGAAACACATATTTTATTACGAGTCGGCCCATTTCTTTGAATCATAAGCGATGGCTAAATTTTCTGCGACAATCTTTAAAATTGCGATTTTGTTACTTACCTGGCCTCGCAGTCCTCGAGCGTGTGGAAATTATTATTCGACTTGCCGCAACCGCTGTAGTGAAAACCTTTGCATTCCTGAAAAAAGATGCTATATGCGCTTTCAATAAGAATGTTCGGCAACGGTTGTCTTAAAAGATTTTTTGCTAGGGCTAATCGCTCACGGGCCGGAGAAGACTTATAAATATTCCTGTTTTTGCTTAAATGATTTATAATGCTTTCCGGTGAGGCGGATTATTTTGATGGCCGAAGTATCCAGTAAAAACTAGCGATTGGTCTCCGATTTTTTGACAGATTTTTTTCGAACCACGAAGCCTATTTTCTCTGCACTTCTAGATCTTTTAAACGATGATCCTTTTTTAAAATCCAGATGGCTTTTATATTTTAGCCTAAATTCCCAAAAAATGTTTCGTAATTATGAGGGGATACTGAGAATTTTGCGAGGTTATTAGCTTTTTGATAGGTACGTAACGCACACTCCGATGCAAAAAATTGCATAGTTTCAGTTGTTCGCAAAGAAATCAATATGTTGGTGCTTTTTGGGTGGTGACGCTATAGTTGTGGAGCAGTAGGTTCGATTCTGAGCGCGCGAGTTTTGACTCGCAAACCCCTTTAAAGGCATCTCTCACCACTGATGCGTGGGAAATTGATCGATTCGAACCGTGCTAAATTACCCTGCCGAATATACCAAACACAGTGGCTCCAAAGCGAAACAAATATTCTGAAAAAATTATTTTTCATATCAGATTCTTGAAAATGGCATAGCGTGGTCATTAATTTTATCTAAATTTATATTAATTTTGTTGATGCTAATTCTGATTTTATCTTTTGTTGGTTTTTTATTTGATTCGCTTTGAAAAACTTACCTTTAATTGTCGATTATAGTAGTAGCGATTTGACATGGTCTCACACCATTTTCCACGGTCCAACCCCTCCATGCACGGGTCTAAAATTATTGTTAAGTGTAAATTTTTTCAAATAAAATGGTTAGATGAATTGTCCAGTTGTTAATTTAGAAGGCCCCAGCTACCAAAAATAATTATAAACAAAATAAAGTTAATTGTTTTGGAAAAAACATGTTTTACGTCACAACGATCTTCGGTATAGTTTGAGGATATGAAAAGGGCATCGCTTGTACTCTCATCTACGGAATGTGAACTCAAGTTTATCATTATTTAAAAAATTTTGGGTAAATTTTCCATAGTGATTTCGAAATATTTGCCATAAAAAAAGGGCCGACAACAATATTCAAAGATGTTGCCATAAATATGTTTTAGCCAAAAATCCTGACTCTTGGCTTTTCGCAAGGGCAATATGTTGAGCTGCTTCAATCGATAAAAACGCACCAAAACCGCTGGGCTCGCACTCCTTTTGGCATTCCTCGAACGTCTCGAAACGGTTGGTGTTGCCGCCACAGCCACCGTACAGGAACTGGGCGCAGGTGCCTTAAGAAAAGAATTGCGAAAAAAATTGTCTGTCCATATCCATTTAATAGCTCCGAGATATAATAGATCAACTTTTTTGTTTTAAAAACGAAAATGAAATAGAAAAATGCCCCTGTCCTGCATAAAACTATCATTTAAAGTCAGTAAGTTAAAATTAAGTAAAAATAATAAAATGCAAACCATTTAAGGTAGGCGGGTTTTTAAAGGCGCATGCCATTTGGCAAGACGAAAATTATTTTATTTTTGTGTTTAATGTTAGTATTTATTTTTATTTACTTTCGACGATCATGCCGTGCACCTCCTTTTAAGTATCCCCGCCTTGCCTGTATATGTTTCGAAACACATTTTTCTACATCAAGTGGTGAAAAGAAAACTGATCAGCAGAACAGACAAAGCTTAGGAAATCCTGACATCCAGCCGTTGATTTTCTATTATAGTACTTAATAATTAATTAAGTATTAAACCACAAATGTTCGAATACTAATCAGGCTCGGGGTCATCTAAATCAGCAAACCCCCCCCCCCCCACTGCCATTTTAAATGTCACCTGTATAAAATAAATACGTCAAACCTATTTTGATTGCGTCCTTTTTGGGGCAAGCAACTCTTGCCGGAAATCTTTAATGGGCCGGCTATAAACTTGAATTGAGATGTGGGTGCTAATGCACTTGGGGGGGGCAGTTCGGATTTTGACTACGAGACGCTCCAAATGCCGTTTTTTGAAACTCTAAGCTTCTCGGAAAGCTAAGAAGCCTAAGCCTAGGCTTGGCTTCATACAAACGGAGCATGAGCTTAGTTTGAGCCAAGCTAAGCTTAGATCTAAGCTAAGCCCTAAATGACCCCATTCGTAAGGTAATTTAAAGTTTAAGATGAGCTTAGTTGGGCTTACGCATAAGTCTAAGCCGAAGCTAAGCATATATAAAGCTAAGTTCAGCCTAAGCTTAAGCCAAAAAACAAGTAGGGTAAGCGGAGCGTCTCTTAGCCCCTTACTACCAATTTCGGACTGCAGGCCCCCCCTACTACTATGTATCAAACCGCGGTTCACACTATTTTCCACACTCAGTGTTGCGCAGGCAAATTTTCAAGACATGTTTTTCTAACCGCAATTTCCGGAAAAGTCAAATACTTACGAAAAATAGCTATAAAGCCAACCGCACTTACTAGCATTTTCTGCAATAATTTGAAGCATGGAATTCCTGCTTTTGACGGACAAACAAATTGGGGGAAACAGCGTCTAAATCTTGTTTTTGCTAGAACTTTTTATATTGCGCTGTTTTGAGATTAAAGTAAAATTCTTAGGATAGTTTTTGATGTTTTCTCGAACGGCGTCTTCAAAATATCGAAAACTACCTGTTCGAAAAGTGATTTTTGTGTTCTCAAACTTTTTTAATGACAATACATATTACGAGCTAAAACTAAAATTATTAGTAAATTCCTCTATCGAATGTTATTACAAAAATCCCGATAAAATAGCTAAAATATCGAAATTCTGTCAAAGCAGGCATAAACCGGAGCCTATTGCATTCGTAGATTTCCAGCTTACAAGGTATATCCGAAAAACATATTTTTTGAAAAATGTTTGAAGGTGAAATCTACCTTGACGACTGTCGTAGAACCACTGATATCGCATATGATTGCACGACCCCCCAATCCGGCAGATGTGAACAACGATTCGGGTGGACGCTCTTTTTCAGCCCCTTACACGTCGATTCACATTCGTGGGAGGAGGCGAAACTGAAACAGTTTATTCAAAGAAATTTTTATGAACATTCTTAAAGTATTTTTCATGAAGTTATTGTTAGTTAAATCAATTTAGCAGTACGATTTTTAGATTTAACCGGCATTGTCGAAGCGCAAACACTAAGCAAATAAATGATGTCTCAAAATAACACTGGGAAAAGGCTGTAATGAAGTGGCTAATTACCTTTTTCTTCGATTGGTGGCTCAAATTTAACTAAAACCGCCATTTAACTAAAGGCAACAGCCATATCAAACTCCATTAAATTTTCCTACTGCCCGGCTTCCGCTAATTAACGCAAATTAACACCACGAAATTGCTGGCTTCGCGTATTTTCCTTTTCCTGGAAGACCATAATTCGACGTGGGATGTTTAAGGGCTCAGAATTTACCTTTCGTATAGATTTTTTTTGTTAGATGCCGGCGATTCGTCGGCAAATATTATATCTACTATATATAAATTTCTAATGTCCGTACGCCCGCCGACCGACCGGGAATTCAGCCAAATTTTGCATTCAAATTAAAAATTAAATTATAATTATAAATTAAAAACTGCGGGGAGGGAAGGGCCAGCGCTGAACCGCCGCGTAGCGGGGGGTCAGCGCTGGTTATATTTAACTTTCATAGTATTTTGATGCATCTACTGGATACAACCCAACGACGCTACGTATTGCCAAACAAGAAAATGTTTTAGAGAAGCACTTTGAAGAAACATCGATGAAATACGTGATCTACACCCTTCCCGGTAACAATTCGCACACAATTTTGCTGCGTTTAGATATTTTTTTGCCTAAACAAATCCGTATGAAGTGCTTCTGAATTTCGAGTTCACCAAAGTGTGTCCACTACGCTTCTTCCCAAAAACAGGCTAGTTGTTTGGATTGAAACATGACAAATGCTGTCTTTCAAAAACTGCAGTCAATTTTGCGTCTCGCGATTACTCGAAGCACGAAGCGGAGAGTGCAATTTTTGCGAGCGCATCATGGACAATACGCGTTCAAAACATTTCCATCCGGTCCGGCGCAGCTTAAATGTCCTGATCTAAAATATTAAGCTAGCGTTATCTTAAACTCTCTACAAATATTATGAAATAATTTTCAGATTAGTTTACTATTAGTTTTGCGATTGAATCATTTAGAATTTATCAAACACTGTATGCGGTTGCGAATGTTTCGAACGGTGGAACAAATTTATATCGATTATAATTTTAATGATACGAATATTTTTAGTTCTGATCGAAACACATATTTTTTGCAAGATCTGAAAATTGGGCCTACCGATTGGCCGATCCACCACATCCACTGTAGGAGAATACCGTACACTTCCCATTAGCATACGTGTATCGCTGGACGGGCAGGGAATTATTGCCATGACAGCGCCCTCGATCTGCCGGCACGTCGAAACACACTTAAATAGAGGTAAAGTACAAATACAAAGCATAAATTTACTTCATTGCGTAAAGACACAAAGTATTAAAATTTCTGAAAAAGAAGCGTTTTGTAA